AATTCAATTCAATTCAATTCAATTCTTTATTATTAATGTGCCGAGTCAACAGCCGCAAGGCCAATTACAGACACAGCACAGTGCAGAAGAATGAATGACATTATACACAATCTTATTAAAAGTCGAATACAAATTACAGGTTAACACTTGAAGAAATAATAATGAATAAAGTAAAAGTAAACAAACAAATAGCTGATAATTATGACAGTAATAATAATACGAATACAGATAATAGGCGACGGGATCATCTGTGATCAACAACACAAATAATTACAAAATTACATATATAACGGTCATATCTGAAGGTATATAAGTTTTTTAAAATCTAAACAAAGTCAGTACTGTCACGTATGCGGGGTTTGCGCGACTAACAATAAAGGGTCCCGGACTGGATGATTGGATTTGTTGGAATTTCTTTACAATTACAACAGATTACAACAGCTCACAATCCATGGCTGCCTAAGACTCGCTCCATGCGCTTAGTGGGGGGTGGAGTCCAGCTGGGCCCACTCGGCACGGCGGCCACTGATTGGCCTATTGTAGTCTGCCCCGGGTGATTATGATGGAGAAGAATTTTGTGGAATGAAGATTGGCAGGGGAAACCGAAGTAATGGGAGAAAACCCGCCCCAGCGCCACTTTGTCCACCACAAATCCCACTTGACCAGAGCCGGGATCGAACCCGGGCCGCCGCGGTGGGAAGCCAGTGGCTAACCGCTTGAGCTATGGGCGGCCTTGTCTTACATTTCCTCTGTTACTATTTTGATACGTTGCAGCGGAAACGTGTGTTGGCGAGCCGTTGGCTAGCAATGGACTATTCGGGCTTTCATTCGTCATGTCACAGTATTTTATAAATAATGTAAAAACCATACGGATTATGTAGCCTGTCCCCTTGGTAATGGTCCTGGACCTGAAATATGTCGTGCAGAATGAAATGACGAATTCACGAGTGATGTCACGGTCTAGATTATACAGCATCGAATGGTAGGCTGATTGGTGAATTGGAAGGGAGCAACATTGCCTAATTGAGGTACTGATCTGACATTTTCCTTGAAGGCTTCAGGATAACCACGAAAAATCTCAGCCAGGTTATCTAGTGTCCTGGCAGAGACTTGAACCGAGCACCCCTTGGACACGACTGCAGACTCCTATTGCTACACAAAGCAGCTTGTTCATTAATGTTGTATTTCAATGGTTAGAGAATTAAAATTCAAATCCCATCCCAAAACTCTACTGGAATACCTCTACACTGATTTATCAATCATGGCTACCGTACATATTGGCAAGAGTGCTGAGTGAATTTCATAATATCTTCGAGTGTTCTCTATCACTTCCGCAGCAGGAAAGAGGAAACTGACACAAAATTCACATTTTTAGATATAAATATTAATTGTAAAGAGCAACAGTGATTCACAAACAGCCATGAGACCATCAATATACTTCTTTTCTATACATTTAATTTTTGCTATTAATGTAACAAAGCACGGACTGATAGATCTTCGCAATCTTCATTCCACAACTTAGTCATATTTCGGTATGAAAAGTTTATATGTTTTACTTTTAATTATGATTTTATCGAAATGCATTTCTGGCCCTTAATCAGGGCAAGAATATTATTCGAAAATGCAATGTGTGTTACAAGAGCCATATAATCATAACACAAATGTAGACAGGTGTGAGGGCCATTGTAAAGACTGCAGAATGAAGGAAATTACAAAATTTTTTTCGGGGAAACCCCCAATCTTATATACAGTTCATCCATCCATAAAACATGCTGCAAATTACTCTGGCAACCAAAATATGGGCTAAACCACCGACGCCGCTGGGCGGGAGCCAGGCATCAATTTCTTCCGCCTTTTTACACCAGAATTGAAGAAGGAAATACGCAAAATATTGATAACAGGTATGAGAGGTATTTTAAGAAATGTTTTTCTATCCTGAATACTCGAGATCCAGCAGCAGAAATAAACTAAAATGGCATAAGCATAAGTTTGCAACAAAATTTTCTACCTGCTCCATTTTGAAGAAAAATCCTTCATTACAAGTTCACTAAAAATGCTCTTGCTCTTGCTCTCACATGTTCGTAACAGTTATAGATCAGTTTCTTACTGTATTACGAAAGTGTTTTATTATTATGATTCAACAAAATTAATCAATTAATTGGTGTTAACTCTCAGTTAGGGGCATGCTGTGACATGGTTGATTGAGGCACTGTGCCACAAGCCGGAAGGTCGTGGGTTCGATTCCCGATGAGGTCATTAGATTCTTTCAATTGACCTAATCCTTCCAACCGCACTATGGCCCTGGGAACGACTAACCCTCTAACAGAAATGAGTACCAGGATTCTTCCTGGGGGTAAAGGGCGGCCGGCACGTAAGGCTGGCCTCACCGCCATCTGTGAGCCGATTGTCTAGAAAATGTGAGAACGTCAACGTCTCACAACCTTATGGGTATCCACGGCCTGTTAGAGGGCTAGCTTTACCTTTAACTATTACTACACTTCTGAGCAAAACCGACATTAGTGCAATTTTCCTTCTTTTGCCCAGAAGATAACAATCCGCATGGCCACTGCTGTGAGGATCTCGGACCCCACACGGGACAGAATAACTTGGGTTAGGCCAAATAACATTCCGTTACACTATAAATTCAGTAATAGGTTTGGGTGTAGATGCCATTTTGCATGGTAGGGATGTGGGGAAAATACCGTGAGTGGCTGCGAAAGAAAACTGTTCGTAATCTCGGAGCAAAACAGAACAGGATTCATGCATTTTGGTAGGAACTGGACATCCCATGTGTAATACTGTAAACAGAAATGGCCCGATCTGGGTGTCTGCGTCTGCGTGTAACAAGCAGGAAATACAATTAGGCGACATCCTAGTTTGCGCAGGCACCCGGCAAACAACTCCTTTTACCGCTGACTCTCAGCCAACAATGGAAGTTCGTTTGTTAATACGAAGCTCAAAACCTAACCTCAACTTCGCATTATTTAAAAATAAAAGCCGAATATTACACACGAGGGATGGATACCATTCAGTGTCTCCTCAGTACCTCCCAGTATGGCAGGATTTAACCTACTGTTCATTCGTAGCTTCCCTCTCTATGCTTAACTGCGGCCTTCAGGCTGATACAAGCTCGCTCAAAATTTGCCCCACGGAACTCTATAACTTCTCGATTTCTCGTAATGAATTAAATAAAAAGGTGAAGTTGTCCCTGTGATTAACTAATTAAGCACTAAGCCATGGAGGCGTCTGGGGTTGCGGATGTATATCCACATTTTATGACCTCCGCACTAGTTGGAAGTGAGTGGTCAGCTTCACGCCCCGTCCGCTGTACTCCCGAGGAAAGAGCCCCCGGCACCCATTGAATAGTAGGTTGGGTGGACCCCAGAGCTGGTCTGGACGACATGGAGAAGAGAAAATTCTTGACCCTACCAGGACTCAAACCCCGATCCCGGCTCATGAATTAAATAAAAAACTTCACAAAATATTTAAGCAAAATATAAACACATATACCCAGTACTGGGATATGATTAACGAATTACTGACAATTTACACCAGGAATTCACGAAATAAGTAACTATGAAAGGTCACAATTTAAGCAGACGAGGCAATACGGAAACTGCAAGCTGACACTAACCTACAAATACTTCTGTACGGGAGTGTATAATATGGAGGAAATTTCGTTCCACATTGCAAGCTGACTTCCTGAAATTATGTAAGCAGTCCATTAGGGTCGTATCTACATTTTATCGACCAATTTTTCATTCTGTTTCCGGCACACTGTTCAGATTAAACGTCGAAAGTATGGCAGTGGGGGCAGCTATACCGTCCAGCCACAGACAACATCGTAAATAAATTTTGCCTACATAAATTATTTAAATGTTCTGTGAATATAGGAAGTTTTTGATGTGACTGCATGTTTCTGACGATGGTGTTATATGCATCATTTTGGCTGACAATGTGTGCATTGCTCACCATCCCACTTTTCTCAAACCACAACCTTAAAATATCCTATATAAATGTTTCCTTTTTCGGCCGACACTACACAGTAATGATCCTGCTGCGTAGGGTCCCTTGACAACACTGGTCTCAAACCCTGGACCTAGCAGTGCCTGGAGTCATACGCCTTCATTTGATCATCCCATCAGTGGTTGGAGAAGAGTATAAAATACATACATACCCCTTATGCAACTCTCCCCATTTCATGTCATTTCCTTCCTCTTACGGGTATGTTCAAACACGTATCTGTTCAGCGCCGTGTTCTCACACGCCACAATCTCTGTTCTGTCTTAATGTGAGAGACCAAGTCTCATATCCATATAAAACAACAGATACAATTTAAAATTATACTTGTTACATCCTAAGGAAACTTCAAAGTATTAAATAGCATGCGGGAACACGAAAGATTCTAAACTGAATGAAAGCTTGCATAGTCCTCAATTAAATTTGATTTTAATTTCTTAGTTACCGTAATATAACTGTGTTCTGTTACTGTCATTCCCAAATATTTGCAATTTCCATATATCCGAAGGGCCGATCACAGCGGCAGCGCGGTCTAAGGCATAAATTCTCTTCGCTCGCTAGCACACTCAGATCGTGGGTTCGAATCTCACTCAAGGTATGTGCGTTTATTCTGTTTGTGCTGTTCTGTGTGTAGGTAGCGGCCTTGCGACAGGCTTATCCCCCATCCAAGGAGTACTACTGACTGTGTATAGATTAAGAAACTAAAAAAGCAGCCAATGTTCACTAGGGCTGTAGAGTCATAGATATATCCGAACGTCTAATTAGATACTGCAATTTTATTCTGTCATTTGGCGACTGATGAAACCTGAATGTTTAAGATGACAAGAATATTATTACAATCCTGCCGGTAGAAGTAGCCTAGTACGACCGAGGAAAAGCTGGGTGGAACATTTTATTTAGCCTTGGAAGTGGAAGTGTGCTAAGGCAGAAGAAGAATAGGTTCTAGCGAGGTGATATGGACTCGCAGAAACCCCTCTTTTTTATTTTTTTTTATTGCTAGTGGGGTGGGACTAAGTCCCTTGTACTGCGGCCATTTCTTGCCTATTGTACCAGCGACTAAGTCCCTTGCACTGCGGCCACTTCTGGCCTATTGTACCAGCCCCAGATGATAGATGAGGGTGATTGTGGAGCAATTGGTGGAATGAAGATTGACAGGAGAAACCGAAGTACTCGGAGAAAACCTGCCCCAGCGCCACTTTGTCCACCACAAATCCCACTTGACCAGACCCGGGATTGAACCCGGGCCGCCGCGTTGGGAAGCCAGCGACTAACAGCTCGAGCTATGGCGCGGCCTACCAACCCCCTTACTAGCAACTAACAGGGCTTCTGTTAAGTAAAGCCAAGTGTGTTAAAACAGCGTGATAACTTCCTGCATGAAATGAAGGTTGACACACTGAAACATGTAACTTTCTGAACGAGTCTCGACTACATGAAGTGTAACAACGACTACTCACCTAAGTAGGTATGCTCGAAAGACTGCTCGCATGTTTGTACCTGCCCTTACTACAACAAAATTTGAAATATTAAGATGTGAACGTTATTTCGTACATTTATTCTGCGCGATGAGTGATTCAACTGTTTCACTGTTGCCTGTGTGTTTGAGATGGAGTCACTGCGCACTCGCTAGCCGAAACGAATGCTCAGATTACGTGCGCAGACTGCAATCATTCTATTAGAGCTTGATACACAAAGGTAAATGGGAACCAAACGCACGTGCATCTCTGTGTTACGAAGTTACATGGAGCTGATAAAATAAAGGCAATTTAAAAGATAAACAAGGTACGAAACCGAAACTGTTAAGACTGAATAAATGGAGATTTTCAATTTGACGGAAAATAATATTGGTAACGTAAACGTAGGCCTATATTCTAACGAAATTTATTACCACTTCTAGCACTTGGGCCTAGAACATGTTTGTAACTTATTTGGTAATTTTTTTGCTTCATTTATTTAAGTTATAAAATAGACAGGCGCAGAATGTTTAATAAATTATAACTGAATTGATGTAAGTAAACAAAAATGAAGGTTTAAGTGAACAATATACTGTAACAAAACGTATGGCCTATTTATGACCTTAATTTAAGGCCATTTCCTGTTCAACTTAAATCTCACAGACAATTCCGTATCCAGCAACAATATTAGTTGGCGCATATGAGGAAATAAAAGTAAAAAAAAAACAGTTAAATTAAACTGCAGTAACGGAATCCTTTAAACTTATTTTAAAACATTCGAAATATATTCGACATTATGGAGGAGCCGGGACATTGTATTTGGTATAGTAACTGACTACGAGCTGAACGACCGAGGGGTCGGAGTTCACGTCCCGTGAGAGTAAATATTTTCTCTACTCCACGTCGTCCAGCCCGGCTCCAGAGTCCACCCAACCTCCTGTACAACGGGTACCGTGGACTCTATCCTCTGGGGTAAACCGGCCGGGGCGTGACACTGACCACTCACTTCGAACTAGTGCCGAGCTCAAGAAAATGTGGATTAAACATTCACTCCCCCATACGCCTTAATAGCATAGTGCTTAATTAGTTAAGCACAGTGACAACTTTGTTATCCTACATCATGATTCCATGGAATCAGAATACCTGATTCAGCAAAATTGAGGTTGGGCCTGAGGTTTTCCATTTGGTCTCAGCAGTTTGATACCCAAGCAGCTCATTCAGATTGGGTACCTATGCCTCTGTAACCGGGGTTTCAGCGACCAGAACCTCGGTTAAGAATGCACAGAGCTAAACATTATCTTCCCCGAGCGGTGTTCATATGTGCCGTGTGCAGCCTTGCGGAGACGCATGTCTTGTAAAGAAGGCGTAAGATGAAGAGACAAATGTTTCACATTCGTAGTTTATTTAATGAACTCAGCAACTCAACACAACATAGCTTCAGATATGCTTTTCACTTTTCCTGGTTTATTCCCGAGTTGGCTAGTGAAACCGTAACGCTCAGACCTGTATTCAGGAGGTGTCCAGTTCGAGTCTGGTCAGGGATACGCACTGTTCTCATTGATGTTCCTTTGTTTCGTAATTTTCGTCTGTCCCTGCAAGCAAATCCCGGGATAATACCTCATATCAGGCCACGACCTCTTCCAGATAAATATTTTCCAATTATTCGCCGATTATCCCGTAATTTAACGATAAAACGTCCGAGCTATAAACAGCGTCATTAAACTGTAAGTAGGCCTGAGTAAAATCTTACAGGATTACATTGTAAATTAAGGAACGGGCCGCGTTTCATATTTGGCCTCTGGGTTTTGTGTGACAAGTAGCGGGGCAGTGGCTGCATTGTTGGAGGTGATGCATTGTTGACTTAGGCGCTAACACACCCTACAGCCCTTGACCAGACCCACTTCAACTGAGAACGGCCGGCTCAAGAAACACGCAGAGCAATATTATATTTCTGCATTCTGTTGCGCTAGTTTGCGATTTAGTTTGTAGATGTCAGTCCTGAAACTGCGCCGAACACAGTGGCCCTGCAGTCTAAGGCATCAACTGTCTTCGCTCTCCTGTACACTGGGATCGTGGGTTCGAATCCCACTCAAGGCATGGATGTCTGTGTTGCGTTTATTGTGTTTGTGTTGTTCTGTGTTTAGGTAGCGGCCTTGTCACGAGCTGATCTCCCGTCCAAGGAGTCCTACTGACTATGTAAAAAGATCGAGATACTGAAAAACCGGCCAAAGTCCAGCAAAGAGCTGTAGAACCATAGACAGACAGACAGACAAACAGATAGATAGAAGGCCACGTCATAGCTCAAGCGGTTAGTCGCTGGCTTCCCACAGCGGCGGCCCGGGTTCGATCCCGGGTCTGGTCAAGTGGGATTTGTGGTGGAAAAGTGGTGCTGGGGCAGGTTTTCTCCGAGTACTTCGGTTTCCCCTGCCAATCTTCATTCCACCAATTGCTCCACAATCACCCTCACCTATCATTTGGGGCTGGTACAATAGGCCAGAAGTGGCAGCAGTAGAAAGGACTTAGTCCCACCCCGCTAGCAATAAAAATATAGACAGATAGATAGATCGTCTTGAAGGTGCAATTTCTTGCAGACATCGTAGACTGTTGTGTGCTATTTGTCATTCATATATAAATGCTACTTCTATGACATGTTTCGGCCTTTCTCACCCAACCACGGTGTAAAGTTTGAATTATATAGGAGCCTGTAACAATGGACTCTTGGAGACAAACTCCGGAATATTGTTATATATTTAGTAAATCACAAATATATACATATGGTTAAGCAAAATTTACGCATATGCTCTCCTTGTGAAAGAAAAGTCGAAAATATTGTGCAAAATACGTCCTGTTTCTTCTCAAAATACACGTAACCGTCAAATGACGCACACTATCAAAACCCAAGTGTACAGGTGATCTAAAGATTTTAAAGGACATGAATTATTTTAATACTTGTAAAATAAAACCCTGCCGAAACTCGCTTATAATAAAATCTGATATGAGCAGTGGTTAAACTGTGAGCTGTTAGCGAGGTGTCCCCCCAATTAATTTCTCAAAAACCTCATCACGCTGGTTTCTCGCTTGCGGATTTTTCCACCCTTATGATGGAGACGATACGTTCTTCCGAAACGTCGATCCACACAAGATTTACACGGCGCCACATCCCAGAAGACGACATTCTTCCTGTATTATACAGTTTTCTAAATTGCGCCTGTTTATTGCAATCTCAAATACAGGATGAATTTAAATTCGTGCACAGGCTCTCCCTAGTGCGATTCCTTGCTAAGAACGAAGTTGATATTTTAAACGTCGTGTCCTCTGACGTCTAGTTTTCAAGATACAAGTCACCGTCAAATGACGCAAGCCATGGACGCCTCGTAGTTACAATGAGTGTTCGAATCCGCCTCCGTCAATTTCAAGGCAGACCTGCAGTGCGCCGAACGGAATTATCGGGAACAGGCCTTAACATGCTGGCACCGGCCTTTGTCAGAAGAGCTTGAAGTCTTGCCTCGGGGCTCTCCGATACTCACGGGAGCCACTGCATGAACATGCCCCTTCAGGTGTCCCCATAAGAAGAATAGTATCCACCGCAGTTCGGGTCCGGCGACCGGAGAGGCCAGACAAGAAAGACAGGATTTTGAGTCTTTTGACTTGCACAGAAATTTGTCTTCGGAAGAGATAGCTAAACCTTTTCGGTACTAGAAAATGGTTTCCATGTGTGGGGTCCTAGTTCTGTCCCTGATAACTGCTTTTTCCTCAGCGTTGTTAAGTGATTGGCCTATGTTGATTGCATAATAACTTTCGCTTGTTAAAACGAGCCAAATGGAGACTAATTCTCGTCTCAGAGATGGAAATCGTCAATATCTGCGGATAAAACGGCTCTCCTGCAAGATACTTTATCTTTACTTGAAGCTGGTCTAATTCGGCCAAGTTCGGTAGAAAAGGTAATGCTATCCCTGTAACAGGCCATGGAGACCCATAGGGTTGTGAGATGTCGAGGCTCCCACATTTTCCAGACAATCGGTTCGGAAGTATGTGGGGTGATGGTGGAATGATTATTATCAGAGGAAAGCCGAAGAAATTAGGAGGAAGAACGTATTCCAATACAACTGCATCCACGACAGTTCCCACACTAGGTCACCGCGACTTGACCCCCTAGGTCCGTGGTGAGAAAACAGAAACTGTATACCTGAGCCATGTCAAAGTCTTTTGAAATACAATTTGTAATTCGTCTGCCCTCAGAACCACGTTTTTGGGGTGGTCCCTCAGAGGTTCCATTTAACCTCCTTAGAACTGTTGTTAGGCGACAGGATTCTGTACGAGGTGTTAGCTCAGTCAACATAGTAACAGTGCACAGACTGGATGGCCGAGAAATTGGGGTTCCTTTTCCAGCAAGCGCAAGAGAGTTTGCTCTTCTCAGTAGTGTTGAGACCGGCTCTGGTGCTCGCTGAAACTCCTACCCAATGGGCGATAGAGCGGCCGGAGCGTGTAGCTAGCCACTCGCCCCCATCTAGTGCCGAGGTTAATCACATGTTGAGCTGTATCTTCACTCCTCACACGTTTTCATGGCGCGGTGATTCCTTAATTAAGGACGCGGTAACTTTATATTTCACCTTAGTGTCACGTACAGGGTGGTTCAAGGGCCACGTGTGAACAGTTTCCAGCAGGCCGGAATGTTTACTGCACCGTCAATACAATTAACGTAAAGAGTCAGTGTATACCCAGTAAGTTGAATGAGGCAGTAACGCTTCTCATATGTATTCGAGAGGTGTACGGTTGGTTGAGGCACTATGCTACAAGATGGAAGGTCGCGGGTTCGATTCCCGATGAGGTCATTGGACTCTTCAATTGACCTAATTTTTCCAGCCGCACTATGGCCCTGGGGTTAGTTAGTTAGTTATTGGAGAGGGTGGGTTTTCCCCATGCCCTTAGACCTGTATTGGTCCATTGTACTTCCCTGTATGATTTCTACCATTCTCTATATCCTACCGGTACTGGTGCTTACCATCAGTCCCGCCCAGCCAGCGAGACCGGCTCTACTAGCTGAGAGGTATCTATAATGCTTCCCCCATCTATCGGATGTATTAGAGACTGCTGTTGGGCGGGAAACGTCCGTAATTTGGCTCAGTGACCTCCTTTGGAGATATGAGGTTCTTTTACGTGCCGTAAAGCTACGACACGGGACCCACGGCTTAAAGTCCCTCCCGGAGGACTTGTTCCCTGAATTTTTCCGCCCTTAAAAATTTGACGACCTCCGCCGGGTATTTGAACCCGCGTACTACGAGTCATGAGGTGGGAACGTTACCTCTAGACTACGGAGGCCGCTTGGCCCTGGGGTTAACTCAGCCTCTAACAGAAATGAGTACCAGGAATCTTCATGGGGGTAAGGGCGGCAGGCGCGTAAGGCCGACGTCACCGCCATCTGTGAACGAATTGTCTAGAAAATGTGGGTGCATCGACGTCTCACAATCCTACGGGCCTCCATGGTCTGTTACAGGGATAGCTTTACCTCTTTTTTTTTTTTTACGGTTCCAATCTCGGCCGTGACACAAACTGTTGAAGCTGTGGCTTTTTTTCTGGTTTTCCTCCGTAACTCCAGGCAAATGCCTACATAGTACCTCATGTTAGGCAACTTTTAATTCTGCTTAAGTCAATGCAGCATGAATTAGAACTGTATGAAATGTTTTATCTTTGATAGCGTTAAATTTGTTCCTGTGCTTAATGAAGCAACAAGCCATGGAGACATTTGAGAAAGTAGAGTTATAGCTCCGTGTATTCTTAACCTTCGCAAAAGATGCAGGTGAATGATAGCGTCACATTCTGGCCGCTTTACCCATGGGGCGAGAACTGACGCTACCTGTTGTACAGGATACTTGGCAGCCTTCAGGGCCGATCTGAACAACGTGTAGCAGAAAATAATATTTTCCACTGCCGGGAATCGAATCCCAATTTCCGAGTGCAGCCCGTAGCATAGACGCTACTTAACTGAGCTATCCCGGCTCCTTATATTTAACTAATAAGATAAACGAGTGCTGTACTAAAAAGGTAAAATGGTCCCTATGCTTAATTTAGCGCCATGCCCAGAAGACGTGCGGGGGAATGGAGGTTTAGCTTCACCGTTCTCGACCTTGGCACTAGATGGAGGTAAGTAGCCAACTTAACGCTCCGGCCGGTGTACCCCAGGGGGGGTTGAATAGGCCCATGAGCCGGTTTCGACACTGTGGAGCAAAGAAAAATTTCTTGACCCTGCCAGGAATCGAACCCCAGCCTTCCAGCCCGTAGTCCGTCACTATACTGATTGAACTATCCCGGTTCCTTAGCGAAAAATATTTCGAATACAATTGTAAAGAAAATTTAATAACATATTTTATACCCTGTGCACCTTTCCCGTTATTGTTATGGTATATGATATTATGAAAGTATTGTGTAACCGTAGGTTCATTTCTGAACTTCCATATTGAACTGTGTCCTTGTGAACAAGCACAAAAATTACCATGGTAAGATGGAGCTTTCTAGCAGTTATTTGAACTCTTTTAAAAGTAGATGTGCACAAAGCGAAAGGACACGGATGTCTCATTACTGAAAGTTTCTTTCGCTGTTTGGTGACTCCTACCTCTTGTTATCGCAGCTGATGCTTGATGCTGACTTGCATTTCTTGCGTACCTACTCCAAATTTTCTCATCTCCTATTCCTGCCGCCAAGAACGATGATTGGCTTCAACGCCTGGCATCCAAGCCAACCGGGTAGTTCCGATTTCTTCTCAGGCACTTTTCTTCTTTCAATGCGGTTTATAAAATGAATTCATCCGATGCCATATACATGTTCAGACGTCAGCCCACAATTTCTGCGATATCGTTTGACCACTCAAAAAGTACAAAGAGAAGATCAAATGACGAACAAGAATAAAGCATGAAACAGGAAACATTTTTAGTGTTTCTTCTCCACGCTGTACACGAAGTGTATTTCCTGCAATGTTTTCTGAATGAAACTGGTCGAAAGCGAACGATCCACGTTCGTTGCCACCGTACAGATTAACTGAATTCGGACGTCTGCCCGCCTTCTTTCGCTCGCACACCCACCGGTCCGGCGTTCTGCCACTAGTGGCAGGACTGCAGTTCCGTTTCCGGCAGTACAGGAACGTAAGCATGTTGCGGGACGAGTGAACACGAAGGAAAATGAAGAAGTAGTTTGATGGGAAATAAATAGCTATATTTGTGAGGTAAGTGTAAGTGTAGGGATCTTTCGTGTCATTCAAAAATGGCCCATTACCCTAGGGTATAATCGTAAAATAAGAAGAGCCAGAAAACCCGTACTTCTAACACTCAGAATGAAAATTTACTATTTGAACCACTTTTTATAGCTCTACCATATTGTTTTGAATACAGATGTTTCGAGCATACAAAAGCAACGATTTGTACAGTCGGTGATTGAAACGAAGACGCAGAAAGCCGAAAACAGCCTACTCCACGGGAATGCTTTTCCTGCACCGTTCATCTGCTTTGTTTGTACAGTGTTCAGCGCTATAGAGGCAAGTGGAAGTGAGGACATTGAGGATTATCGATAAAAGTAATTGTTGCATCTCGTTGACTGCTTTAGTATGCTAACTTCATTGTGTGAGAAACAGTTTGCCGAACATAACAATGTACTTACAGAAGTAAGGGCGTGAACTGACTTTACTTGATGTGTGTAAGGTTTTGTTTCAGTACATTGTAGCAAAGAAACTAAATCCCCTTTGAGTGATCAAACCGTCATTTCTGGCAAGTATTGGTTTACTATATCAACGAAGAACAGTTTGAATCAACAAAAACCCGTGAAACTTTCTTGGGCATGAGCTGCTGGAGCAAATAAACTCACTCATCAAAAATCTATGATTCATTTCAGAACTAATAGAGTCTTTGTCAGTGAATGATGTGACAGAAATAGTCTGCAACAGAGGCATCCTTCTGAACAGGAGGTCACCAAGAGCCACGGTTCCTGGAGATAGTCACAAAGTAAACTCTTTATTGATCGTGGAGTTAAGAGAAAGTGACCAATGCAGTGACAGCATGTATGTAACCTTCAAGGATATTGGGATAAATATTGATTTAAAAACTGATCTAGCAGGGTATTTTGAGGCTCTGTCATGATCTAGAAGCAAAAAGGAAACCATCTTCCTTAATTGGCTTAAATGTTTTCAGTACCTTGTGTTCCTGGGTAAATATTAAGTACTGATGTAGGGGGATAACCCCCAGTTGCCCCAAGCACTCAGTCCTTGCACTGGGTCCATTGTGCATTGCTTCAGCCTGTTAAGATCCTTGACCTTATGTACAGTCAGAACACCTTACATTAAAGCCTGTTACCTGCTGACTGTACCCATGTGGTGTGAAGTTCATAGGTCATGCACAGCTTTGACATGGGCTACTGACATCAGGATATCCCAGATGCTGTCTTTTGTTCACTAGTGGGGACAGCTGAGTCCTAGGCCAGTAGTTGTGATCCTACATGGCATGTTGTTTGTTGTTCATTTCTTGCTGTCAAGTTTTATGAAGTGAATGGGGCAGGATTACTCAAGTCTTCCTCCTTTATTTGACCCGCGTTATGTAGTCTCCAGGTTGCACTGGTTTTGAGGCTGAAGACTTTCTATTGCCAAGATGAGACTCATCCAGGACAGAGGTTTACTTCCAGTTGCATGGATGTCATAACCCCTAATTCTATGTGAGACTTTTGTATTCTCTCATATTTGAAATTAATTGACACAGTTGGAGGATTAGCACATTCAGAGATTGGAGAGAGTGTTCTGTTGAGACAGCTGCACATTCCTCATAGTCATTGTGTGCAGTGGATCAGTTGTAGAAATCCAGACAAGAAAAGATCATAGAAAAACTTGAAACTGATGTGTCACGGTGAAAGCTTCAGAATCGTAAGCCCATCTCCTAAGAAAACTGCAAGAAGACATCAAGGAAGAGGAATCTTGTTATGTAAGATAGTCACCTGAATAGATGAATACTGGCAGGCAATTGCATGAACAGAAACAAAAGAAATCAGAGAAGAGTGAGACTTCTTCCAGTGCAGTTTGTATCAGCGGTACAAGTTTTGTGGAGTTGCATACAGGTACTGACTGCCAACACTGGAACGTGACTGGATACGTTGCCACCAGTTCTGCAGGTCACAGGACAGTGTTCACCTGTGGAAAATGTAGCTGATGCAAATACATTTTGCAGAAAATTTCTGTGTGCAGAGTAAGAAGAAAGTTAATAGTTAACACACTCTGGTTTAATCTTTAATGTGTTCCTAGTTTTTCACTTTTGTAGGTAATAGTTAAGAGATTATAACTCAAAATTAATGTCATGTAAAGATATGTATTTTTTTATTTATGTATACAGCCAAATCATGCCTTGCCATACTCCCCATGAGAACTGAATCAGCTTTCCTCTTACCTGAATTTACAGGTTTATAGAAATAGACATTTGACAGAAATATAATTTTACATAAGAGTATAATTATTTATATATATATCTTTTGGCCTATTACAATGAATACATTTAGCACATCACTGTACATTTGTTCTGCCAGATATGCCTTTTACAGTCTTGTTTAATGGCCTACAGGAGGATATAAACTCAAAAACAACCAGGTACATAGGAACAGGGTGGGAGTAAGTAAGCACATTGAACCTGTGAAATTGCTAAGGTTGTTCCAGAGGATCTGGCATAGCCTGAGAGAGACTGTAACATCTTATAACAGGTTAACAGTTTTGTAGTTACGTATTGTTGGCCCAAACTGAAGGACCACTTGTTGACTTATTCAGTATACTTATATTTACAGCTGTCCCTCAAATCAAGACCATCTTTCTCCAGAGGATGCGTCATGTTACGGTGATACGGCATTGACCATAGTATACACTAATAGAGTATTAACATAAATTAATGTAAGTTTTATATTCTAGTTTCATAGTAGCAAAGTAATCTGTCGAACTACTGAATGTGTGTTATTATTCATAACTGTTTGGTACGTCCTGAGTTAAGTCTGAGCTGGAAGACAAGCCATATTGGTCCAATTTACATTTTTATTTTAGTTCTTCAGACAATGTGAAGCAGCAGACTGTGGCCGTTTCCTTCCCTGTCCTTTCCAGTACATCTTTTGTACTCACTCTCTCGTTTCTCTTAAGCTGTATGTCTAGCACAGTTGACATTGTGGTAAAGGTAAAGCTATCTCTCTGTAACAGGCCATAGAGGCCCATAGGGTTGAGTGTCATTGAGGCTGTCACACTTTCTAGACAGTTGGCTCGCAGATGGTGGTGAGGTTGTCAGCCTTATGTGCTGGCCACCCTCCCACCCCCCAGGAAGATTCCTGGTACTCGTTACTTTTAGAGGATTAGTCGACCCCAGTCCCACAGTGTGGCTGGAAGGATGAGGTCAGTTAAATGTGGAATAACATCAGGAATTGAACCCACAACCTTGTGGCTTGTAGCATAGCATCTCAACCAGCTGTGCTAGTGCATGGCCCATTGACATTAACACAACACAGTAATGAATAAGGGGCTGTATGTAGTATCTGACATGATGTGTCAAAGGATGTCATTTTCTTGGAGACTTAGAGGAAGAGATCAGCATTAACGCCAACAACAACAGCAACAACAACAACAACAACAACAATATGGCTGTTTAAACATATGTCATTAAATGTTTATACTTGGTAGATTATCCCGAGTAAAGGTGTAATGTGATGTAATATTTGATATAAAATTTAGAATGTACGTGTATGAATGATGTAAGTATGTTTAGTTATATGAAGTGTAACTTCATCTTTAGGGAGTTAGCCATTTCGTGTGTTGAAGCTGTTTGAAAACTTTGGCCTGTAATGCAGTCACCTCCTTAAGGGAAATGGAGGCAGAGAGAGGAAATGGACTGATTCATTGGTCTTGGCAGCGGCAATAAGGGTGGGGGTATGGAGCTTCATGCTATCCAATGGGAAGGTGCCATGTGATTGATGTGTCCACACCCCCCCACCCTTGTCTCACTATGAGATTTAGAATCAATTCACTTTCTCTTCCTTCACACTGACTCTGAAGATGGTAACCACAATGTGTGGTGAAACGCTGGAACAGCTGAAGGTAAATCTCAAAACCTGCAGTTAGACACAGGCCACAAAAGCTCAGGAAAGTGTTGATCATTAAAGGAAATCAATGTCTTATGCTTTTACTGTGTCAGTCCGCTGCGCACTAACGAACACTCTTATGGGTGCACGGAAAGGTTATGGAGTAACTCCAAGAGCTGGTTTGTTGACCATTTTGATGCATACTTTATTCAGAATGTCTATGCAGGGTATGCAAACAAATGAGAGGCAGGTAGCAAGATGAATTAAAAATGCAGTTCACAGTTCAGTAAATATTGTTAATTCTCGTCACATTTGGCAAAGTACAGATCGAGTTAACATACTGTTGTTGCAGTGAAGGAGGGTATTGTATACTATATAAGGATTACTTCTTGAAACTATAAGCCAATAACAAGCAAACGTGTTATCTGCTGTCACTGATGTTTTGTTTTTATATACTCTAGATATTCTGAAGAGAGCATTGTCATTTATATGTGCTTCCAAGACCATATAATAGGCCTTCAGGATTAGAGTAGGAAGGGTTAATATGAATCTTCATGTTTGTGAGGGATATTGATTTATGTTTTCAGAAAATGAAACGAATGAAATACCAAAGGGAAATTAGGTCTGAAGGCGTAAGAGTGAGTTCCCCTGAGCTACCTGAGGGAATGTACAGAGGTGACACCAGGGCCAGCAGCTCTCCAGATGTAGATGTACGCTACCATTTGCGAAATCGAACCATTTTTGATTTCAGAAAATGTGAGAAGCGTGATGCTTCAGATAAAAATGTGTCCATGACAGAAGCATCCTCTGTACATGAAATGAGTCATTGCACTCAGACCAAGTACTGTCTTAGAAATGTGCTGATTGACACTTCCAGAAGCAGGGCTTCGAGTGGCATCCCTAATTTCACTCCACAACTACAGACAGTATCAACAGATATTACCCATTCTATAAATGAAACTTTTGAGCATGAACCCAGTATCACAAGACTTCCGAATGAACTGCTGACTATGATCTTCTCTTACCTTAATGTGCGAGAGTTGAGCATGGCAGTTGCACCAGTTTGTAAACAATGGTACCTTATCGCTCACAGTCCGGTCCTTTGGAGGAAACTCTGTTTTAGTGGAGATGGATTATCCACAGAGAATGCCAAGTGTCTACTTACAAAATCTCCTCTTCTTGCTGAAGTGATCATCTCAAATAGGTGAGTACATGAGCGCACATACTCTGACATCCGGCTATTGTAGCCTCATTCATTAAAACATTACCTGTGTTACCTGTGAGGTTCCATAACTAAAGGGTTATGTTGCTGTGGTCTGGGTGGTGATTATCAATGTTGACAAGAACATAGCTGCCTCCTTAGGTTACAGACATCTGGCTGTCACCCTGAATTTGGAAGGGGTATATTCCTCCAGAACTAGCATCGTAACCAAGATCACAAACTGTATCTTCAGCCTGAAGCATTAGAACAGCTACAGTATGACTAACCCACAAAATATACCACAACCAAGGGAAGTATTTTACACACTCAGTAAAACTGTTGTAGTGAAAATTGAGCCAGGGTAGCTCAGTTAGTGTAGTAATGGGTTACGGGATGGATGACCCAGGTTCGATTCCTGGCGCCCCAAGATTTTACTCTTCTCCACAGCATCAAGACATGCTCTGAGGCTCACCCAGCCTCCCATCCATCTAGAGCTGAAGTCAAGAATGGTGGAGCTATACCTTCACTCGCCCATGTCCTCATGGCATAGTACTTGAGTGAGTTAAGCACAGGGACAGCTTTACCTCTTCTTCCTTACACAAGACAGGTTGCTGTGATGTCATTTGAAGTGTTTGTACTGGATTCTGGGAATGAGAGTTTAAGACGGCAATCTTCTGTAATGTGATGAAGGCAGAAGGTTTCTGCAGAACGATGGTAACTGTCTACCAAACTAGATGCCTTTGCTTCCCAGAAGACCACAGTTGTGTCTTAATGGGTGATCCAAGTAATTTCCCAACTTGCATCCATGCGTCTGCTACATTAGTGCCGCCAGCTCTGGAAGCCTATTTGTTGTAAGGCAAAACCCAAGAACTAACCACACGAGGTTTTTAGATACTTATTTGTAGAATTAAACCAAAAGCTTAACCTTTTCAAAGTAGACCTGTATGCCTAACATGGCATGCGGTGGCGTAGTTGGTTGAGGCGCTATGCTACGAGCCGGAAGGTTGTGGGTTCAAGTCCTGACGTGGTCATTGGGTTTTTTCAATTGACCTAATTCTTCCAACCGTACTATGGCCCTGGGGTTGACTCAGCCTCTAACAGAAATGAGTACCCGAAATTAATTAAATCATTTTCCTGGGGAGTAAAGGGTGGCCAGTTGTAAGGCTGACAACCTTACTGCCATATTTGAGCCAATTGTGTAGATAATGTGGCACCCTCAACGTCTCACAACCCTATGGGCCTTCACAGCCTGTTACAAGGATAGCTTTACTTTTACTGTATGCCTAACATTTTAAAAACAAAACCAAAATCCTAGCCTTGTTCTGCTTGCTTGAAGTGATTTCTGAGGTTAGGCTTTGGGTGTTCAGTGCTAATATGGTATCTTTAGGTTATTTGAGTCACCCAGTAATACAAAACTACCGAATGCAGTTCTAATTTTAATACTCTGGCAACAGCAAATATCATTAGACTCTTCAAAGCAAATTAGTCTTTAACTGCAGCTTAATTTATTAAAGCAGCATAAATATTTATGAAGATTTTGAGGTGGGAAAGTATGTATTTTGATTGTGCAGTCTGAAAAGCTAGATCATTATGAACAGGAAATCAAATTCATGAAGGGATACAGATTGTGTTGTCCACTGCCCTTTTTCTTGCTTTTAATGAAAATTCTCTGTTGTCTTGTTTTAGGGATGATGTCGAAGAATTGATAAGTCAGTTATGTACAACTAATCGTTCAGTGGAATCCGTGGCTGTTAAACGATGTTCGAAGTCAGAAGTGCTGAACTCGTGGGAATGGGCATTATTGCATGCCAGACATTTAAATAGATTGATAAAATGCTGCCCAAAAATACGACGTCTCAAACTAAATGAAGTCTGCATCCGCAGTAACAAGTTTTATCATGATCTCGGCATCCTCCTGCCCAACCTCACTTGTCTTCATTTAAGCCATAATCATTTTCTAACACCTAGACAGATCAAAAATATTGCCACTAATTGTCACAACCTTGCTCAACTTTGGATCAGCGGAGAAAATTGTTGTGGTCAGAAGGAAGACTGGGAGAGTGCTTATAAAACTTTGTTTCAGCAACGTTGGAGGACTCTCACTCACCTCCAGTTCGATGCTTCTAAACTCACAGATGATGTTTTCAAGGTAATGAAGTAGTTACAGTTACTGCCACCAATCTGTGAGCTTGACTCTCTCCAGTCTTTGAAATTACCTAAAAGACATGGCACACAGCAGCTGGCAGTGATCCCTTTGACTGGAAACTTACGGACTGTTTTGGCCCCAGCTTTTCCCTTTATCTTCCTTGGCCTTTCCCACTGTCTTGCTCCTTTAATCCCGCTTATATGACTTGTACACTTTTCATGCTGCAGTCAAGTTACCACTTCCTTTACTCTTAATTGGCTCTCTCTTAGCTCCTTTAAAGCTTTGACTGGCCTGTATCAGACCAGTATTCCACATATAGTTCACTCATATTCCCAGTGTAAGTAGCGAAAATTATCTCAGCATAATTTTTGATAGAATTATGTGAAGATTTCACATAGAAATGATAAAAGCCAAGGTCTTCATAACATTTGTTAGAAACTTTTCCCAATTTGAATGGCAGCAGGTACATGGTAGCCTTAAATTAACCCTTTACAAAGCACTGTAAGGCATAGGACATTATGCTCTGTAGTAAGCTTCAACTGACAGAGACATTGTTACAGTGTATTATGCCTACATGTAACAATTTCAGTGTTACGAGTAACAATATGTGTGCAGTAAGACCTCACTAATTCAGACTAATTGGGCATGAACCCTTGTTCAGATTAGTGAATGACTGAAGTGTGGAAGTTCTACTGAAAATATGTTCAGGGAAGCTATGAAACAAACTTCGCATGTCTTTTTAGACAATACAGCTTTATTTTACAACTTAGATGTCATATCAGAAAATAAATTTACTTGTCATAAAATTCTGAAATATAAGTTTTGACATCTATCTTGAAAAACATTTAGGTACTGACAATGTGATCATCGAGGTCATGATGCACAAAAAAAAAAGTTGTCTAAATTATCGCAAATTCCGAATTAGTTAGGTTTCACTCCATTTGACAAGGGATGAAGTGTGTATAATGTACACGTGTAAAATTGTAAATGTAGTTAGCATGACTTTTTGTGAAAGACAAGCCCATCATCTCATCAGAGGACATCGCACACTGACAGAACTGTAACTACCTCTACAGAGACTAACAACCTGTCATCAGCCTCAGACTGGAGCTCAACACCAAGACAGACTGACTGGCTGACCATCAGCCATAACATGACTTTGGTCCACTCCTCTTGCTACCTGCTTCTTCTTGGCTTACTCTTTATCCCTGAAGACAGGGGCAATGTGTTCTTTGGGAACATTGAGTTGTCTCCGAACTAAGTCACATAATAGCGGCCTCCGTAGGTTAGAGGTAATGTTCCCACCTCATGACTCGTAGTACGCGGGTTCAAATACCTGGCGGAGGTCGTCAAATTTTAAGGGCAGAAAAATTCAGGGAACAAGTCCTCCAGGAGGGACTTTAAGCCGTGGGTCCCGTGTCGTAGCTTTACGGCACATAAAAGAACCTCATATCTCCAAAGGAGGTCACTGAGCCAAATTACCGGACGTTTCCCGCCCAACAGCAGTCTCTAATACCTCTGGTAGGTGGGGGAAGTATTATAGATACCTCTCAGCTAGTAGAGCCAGTCTCGCTGGCTGGGCAGAACTGATGGTAAGCACCAGTACCGGTAGGATATAGAGACTGGTAGAAATCATAGAGGGCAGCACAATGGACCAATACAGATCTCAGTGCATGGGGAAACCCACCCTCTCCCATAACTAACTAACTAACTAAGTGACGTAATCCAGAAGACTGTATTCTTCATTAGGAAAATCGTTTTCAATCCCGTCCCACCTACAGTCGCAGAACCAAGGCCAAGCTTGCAATTACTGGTGGCAGCTGTAAGTTAATGGAGGTGGCTGACATGTCACTTAATTTCTAAGAAGCAAACATGATACACATTCCTACACAAGGCAGTTTGGTAATTGAATATTTCATGGAGTGTTGCAGTGATACTCTATGCACGGCAATACAGGTTGAGTTCACCACCAACATTGACAGGTAGGGTGAGGTCTCCCTGAGCAGATCATGAAAGCATCTCATCCGTCCACTTCCTGAAGGGCAAAATAGTTACGTCCTACAAAACAACGTTCCTCTACCCATGCCATTATGGGAAAAGGTGCTCTCCTCACTTCCTCTCCTCCGGAGATCTGAAAAGGGCCATCTTGCCCCTGTTCTTAGAATCAAATTTCCCTCCTATGAGATAAATGCCCCCCCCCCACACACACATACACAAACACACACAATTTTAATTTTCCTCCTGAAAACAACATTGGAACCTGGAAAAGGCCATCCTCTCTCACTGGTACATTTCCCACTTTGTGACAGTAAGCTAGTGTGCCCCTTGTAAAAGCTGTCTACTATCCATTCTTTCCCATTTTCTGACCTTGGGGTCATCTTGTGCTTATTTCTGATTCTACAAACTTAACCCCTGGAGATGGCTGTAGCATGTTGCACTGAGTAAGTATTCACCTACCAGACTGCACAGTGATATGTTCTGACTGAATGCCACTTGGTAATGACAGTCTGTAAATATAATGAGTCCTGTCCTGAGCAGCTCTGATATACTCTAAATAGTGGTTAACTGCTGCTGGTTGTCATGAGTTTATAGAGGCATATAGGAACTGGACACAGGCTGGGCAACCAAGGGGACAGTGTTTGAGTCGTGGGAGGGTCAAGAATTTTCCCTTCTCCATGTCATCCAGACTGGCTCTGGGGCCCACCCAGCCTTCTATCCAAGGTGTACCTGGAGGTAAAGTGGTCGGAGTGTGAAGCTGACCACTCACCCCAACTAGTTCTGAGGTCAAGAAAACATGGGTCAGTACACCACCTCCCCCATACATCTTCATTCGCTAAACACTGGGCAAGGTTTGACTTGGTAGACTGAGGATTGGGGGGGGAAGGGGGGCAATGAAGGTCAGGCCAATATTGAAATGAAATAAAATAAAATTATAAAAACATTATTAGACCGTTTCTTGACACAGTCTGAATGGGCTAATATATTGGTATTTGGGAGATGCTTGGTTCAGATCTTGGCCATGATACCAGCTGTCCTGATTCAATTCATAATCATGGCCAGTTCATCTGTTGTCCTACCATTTAACGGTATATAGTGTAGATAGTAAGTGTCATAAGGCACAAAAAGTGTGTGTCCAAAAGCTCAAGGAAGTTTACCAAGAGGTTGGACTACCCATGCCAGCAAATGTAGGGATTGTGTGAATGAAAGGAAATTGGTATTAAGATTTTCATTTTGAGCATCCCTGAATATGAAGAAGTATTTTCTGGAATGCGGTATGTTTGCGCACCTCACTGTCATCAGAACGGTTGGATGATTTTATTTATGCCTCTGTGATCTAGTGGTCAGAGTTCCTGGCTAAAACTCCAAAGGTCTGGGTTCGATTCCCAGTGTTGCCATATTTTCTGAGAAGTAGTGGGTCTGGAACAGGGTCTACTGAGCCTCGTGAGGATAATTGAGTAGCTATTAGCGGCTCTGGTCTAGAAAACCGAAATTAACGGCCGTGGGGATTTGTTGCACTGACCACGTGACACCCTATATGCGCTAAAGTTGGCACTAACTTCGCTGACAAGTGGTGGTTGCTCGGTCGGTATAGTTCACTTGAGGACTAAAACCACGGAGTATGTATTTAAGAGTTTAATGATATAGGTGAATGAGAACATTCTATGAGGGGACTTTAGTAAGTAAGGGCAAATTGACTGAATATTTAGTAAGATTGGACAGAACCTTGTGAAACTTCTACAGCTTGTAGAGACATCTATAGGGCACGTTCTGGCAGTGTGTAACTGACGCCAGGACAGGTGCGATTTGAATGACAGTATGAATTTCATAGCCACCTCACTAGAATTGCACCAGAGAAGAGCAGTGTTCTGTAATGAGATTCTTGTGGTCAGAATGGGGCTGAAAGTGAGGGAAATGGACAGATGAATGATTCAGCAGTATTGTGGAAGCTGTCTGAATGAAAGGAAAGTGTACCAGAGGGTAGAGAGATTTCAAGAACCGCAAACATCTGTCGGTGATGAACATCGCTCAGGTTGCCCATGCACAGCCATCAGTGATGCAAACATTGCTCACGTGGATCCACTTATTGGTGAGAATACACAGATTTCTTGGGACACTGTTGCTACTTTGTTGAACATCAGTGTTGGATCTGCACATCACCCGTAAGACTCTCAAACATTGCTGTGTTCCAGGTTGGTGTTGAGACAGTTGACCGATGAACACTAGTTGACGTGTTTGCAGCGTTGCAGAGCTCTCTTAACACATTACCATGCTGAGGGTGAAAAGCTTCTTGCACACAATATCACAGGGGTTGAAACCTGGGTTCACTATTATGAACCAGAAACTAAAAGAATCCATGGAATGGTGACACATCCTCTCCTGCCAAGAAAAAGTTCAAGTGAGCGCCCTCTGCCAGAAAACTTATGGCACCATTGTTCTGGAATATGAGTGTGCCAATTCTAAAACACTGTCAGGAGAAAGGAGAGAGAGCAGTATAAGGAAGAGCACCATTCTGCAAGAAGACTGAAGTCTGCAATTCACAGACTTCTGTCCAAAGACATCCTCCTCTTTTATGACAATGCATGACCACACATGGCTGCTGCAACAGTTACCACCATTCAGAAACTGAAATATGAGACCATAAATAATCCCCCTTACAGCCCAGGCCTCACTTCCTCTGTCATGTGTTTCGCATGCTTAAGAAAGCATTGCGAGTACGAAAATTTAACAGCAATGACAAAGTGAAGAAGAGGATGCATTTCTGGCTTCAACAACAAGCAAAAACTTTTTCATACTGGACTATAGAAGCTTGTCAAAAGATGTGAAAGGTGCATTGTGACAGATGGTGACTACCTGTAAAAATAATGTATCTGTATATATGATGTGCATTTCAGTATAACATAATTTGCCCTTGCTTTTTGAAGTCCCTACATAGTTTAGTTTAAAAAATTGTGGCCATCAGGCACAGAATTGTGGTTTCCTCATAAGTGATTAATGATTTTATTACATTGCAGTAGTTTATGGAGTAAACAAAAAGTAAAGCTATCCCTGTAACAGGCTGTGGAGGCCCATAGGGTTGTAAGATGTTGAGGTTCCCACATTTTCTAGACAATCTGCTCATAGATGGTGGCAGAGGTCAGCCTTACGTGCTGGCCACCCTTTATCCCCAAGAATATTCCTGGTACTCATTTGTGTTAGAGGCTGAGTCGACCCCAGGGCCATAGTGTGGCAGGAATGATTAGGTCAATTGAGAAAATCCACTGATCTCATCAGGACTTGAACCCACGACCTTCTGGCTTGTAGCATAGTGCCTCAACCAACCACGCTACCGCGTGCCCCTAGTATTTTATGTAGACCTTAAGAAAACTGCGTAGTTGATGTCTTCAGGAACATGACAGTATGCACAGTAGGGGCCCAAACGCAAAACTGTATAGGTAATATATTCAGGAACATGACAGTATGCACAGTAAGGGCCGAAATGCAAAACTGTATATGTAATATATTCAGGAACATGACAGTATGCACAGTAGGGGCCCAAACACAAAACTGTATAGGTAATGCGTGCCAGTTTTAGCAGTCAGATGGATTTCATTGTTGTTTGGTGTTTAGCAATAAACACTAGTCTACAGAATGGTACTCAGTATTATTTCAAAGGTAAAATGGTCACTGTGAATTGTATTTGAGAAAGTCTTTGCACCAAGTTTATTGGTGTGTTATGCTGCTGAGTGACATAACTGCAGTTGTTGACACTTAATGAGTGTCACTAGCAAAGGAAGCTAGGCATCATCTCATTGCTACAGTTGATGCATATTCTATTGTGTAATTGCACACTTTTTGAAAAAGAATTGTTTTCTTTCCTTACAGGAGCTTTCACTCTGCGTGAATCTTAAGATACTGCACCTGCATAGGGCAGTTTATCTTTTCTGCCTAGGAATGAGTGCTATTGGCACGCTGCCAAACCTGATATCTCTGCGACTTCATAAAGCAAAGCATCTGTCCAGTGATACGTTGCTTGTGTTGTACCAAAATGGGAATTTCGAAATCTTAGTGAATCTGAGTCTTGCAGGGTGTAGCTGTGTCAATGACGAATGTGCAGCAGCAATTGCATTACACTGTCGACATCTTCATTTGCTGTCCCTAGCTCTTGTTGAAGGTATTACTGACAAGGGTATTGAGGCTATTCTCAAGCACTGTACTTCGCTACATTACCTTGACATATACTGCATGAAGAATGTTACCGGATCATCATTTTCTTATATTTCACATTATGCTCGTGAGTTAAATTTCCTTGTTGTTGAAGAGTCGTGTAGTGATGAAAAAGAAAAAAATATAAAGGCATTATTAGCATTCAGTTCAAGTCTGAAGGTCCATCGTACACAGACGTGGAAAACTGGTGGAACATATCGATGCAAATTACTCCAGTATCATAATGTTGTTTAATGATCTAAGTCATTTGTGTGAAAAAAAAATTGAAAACACCAAGGTGGCTGGCTGTCATGATGTATTGCAGGTAATAAGAGAAAGAAACAATATTCTCGAAAAACATGCATATTTGAAATGATTTATAGTGTGTTTGTTTCATGAATCGAAAATAATAGGATACTTAAAATTTCCCAAACATAGGAACTTGTGACATTAACTGGTGTCAGTAAATGTAAATTTATAAGTTATTTTACTACTAAAAATATACTTAATCTTCAAGGCAAACATGTCATAACATTTGAAGCACTGTTTACATAGTGAAGCGCAGAAATCTGCAAGTAAACCTTGGACATTTGACTGCATTGCTAAGGCTGTATTAATCCCCTGTCACTCTTATAATTGGCACTGTATGTCCAGGTTAGAAGCACTTAAGTAATCAAAGGGCTAAAATTATTTGGAAAATACCACCAAGCCAAAGGTCTGGTTGTACACCATGCTAATGAGTAAAAGCTTAGTATTAGGACATCTTTGTTCATAGATATTAGGCTAATGTGTCCTAGTTGAACTATCATTTCCTTGGCCATCCCAATCACCTTCTGTGGGCTTTGAATTTTGTTACTATTTTCATAATTGTGTTACCTCCTGTGTGACTTATTTGTGCCCGCCATTTCCCTCTCTCGTCCTCGACCTTCATATTTTGAACTTCAGTTGGGTTCTTATATTATCAAACAGACTATATCCAGCCATTCATCTCAGAAATTTCTTTTATGTTGTTGATGGTAGGACATGAAAAGCTAAAATCAAGTATCAGTTTTCCTTTTTAGTGCTATAATGTACCACTTTTTAATGTGGGTGTTTGAAGATGGCTGTGTATGAAGTATGACTACTTATTATATTATATAAATGTTGGAAACAATGTGGAAAAGAGATCTATTTGAAGTTCTTTGCTATTGACATTTTTGGTTTGATTCTGAACTGCCTTCTCATTCGAAACTAAATCTGTGACATTAAGCTTTCACAAGACCCAGGAACAATGGTTTCATATGTTAGTATACTTTTTACTGCTTTCAAGTTACTTCATATATTCGACCCAGTTATGCATCATATATTAATTTCATACTTGGAGATAAGAGGACTTGAACTTAAACTCCACGGTTTTAGTCCGCAAGTGAACTATACCGACCTGGCGACACCCTTTATCCGCTAAAGTTGGCACTGACTTCGCTGACAAGTAGCGGTTGCTAGGTCGATAAGAGGACTAAACAATCAAATTTTCTCTCTGATCTCAATAATGAATCAGATAAATTTTTATCTCTCCTGTAACTAGAGTGGTCCATCCATCCATCCATTTCAGTGAATCAGATATCTTTCACCTGTTGGAAAAGTATATTCATTATGCTGAAAGCTCAGTAGCATTATGTGTCATTTAATTTCTCTGCTGCGCCTTGACAGGGAGATATTATTTCCAAGTGTTATTACTTAAGTGTGAATTCTGAAATGACATTAGAAGTTAGTCTTATTGTAATTAATTTATGTTGTGTTAATAGTATTAATTTCACCTTTCCTCATGTTTTCTGTATTATATTTTAGTTCTTTCTCACATATTTGAATGTGGAAGTAAATTAAATAAATATGGTTTATTCTTATTGTACATTTGTTTGTTTTTACTGTGCCAGAATAAATGTGTGGATTTGAATCTGGCTTTGTGTATATCAGTAACTAATAATGGACAACATCGTTTTTTTTCTTTCTTATTTGTATACATAGTACAAGAAAATACTGTGATTGTGAAAAAAGTTGATCTTGATTCTGCTAGAAATTTAAGAAGTTCTTTATTACACAGAAGGTGAAAGGCAACCACACTTTACAATGTTATATTAATTTTATAAAACTGCAAAAATTGTTGTCAGCCATCTTAGGGTATTTGTTACTGTACCTATAAAAAAGGTAAAAGTCCCTGTACTTAATTAATACTGTGCAATGAAGACTTTTGTGAATGGAGGTATAGCTCCACTCATTCATGATCTTGGTGTTAGATAGGGATGATTGGTCAACTTAATTCCTTGGATGCTGTGCCCTCAGGGTAAAGAGGCTGGGTGGTCTCCAGAGCTGGTCTGGATGCAGTGGAGGAGTACTGGTGTAGTATGTTCTTAGATTTGAGGTTCTCATGGAATACTGTCATTTTGGAAGTGACACCATGTATGCTGTGTCTAAAACATCTCTGCGATTGTTATGTCATGCTTAGCCACTAACTTCTATTTTCAATATATGATAAAAAAGAACCAAGTTACCCATATACTTAATGAATTAGAAACTATGCCAGTGGTTGTCAACCTGGGGGTACAGGAAGGCATCTTACGGGGTACATGAAATTAAAATTCGACCCTGAATTGTGCTGGCATGCCAGAAACAAGTTCAATCATATCATTAACAGGTCAGAACCAAATTTGTAATAGATAAAATATTAATCATATAATTTTGCTTTGCTGAAAAAACCTTTGTTCCTTTATTTATTTTTATATGATAGGCAATAATATATTTGCTACTTAATAGCTTGATTCTCCTTTTTCTCATTAAACATATTTAATATGTCATTTTGGATTTAATTTGTTTTACATGTAGATTATATAGACTGTGTATAACTTGAATTATATGCCAACAACTTTGGGGTTACATGAACAAAAAAGTTTAATACCACTGCACTATGCCATGAAGAGATGGGGTAGTGGAAGTATAACTCTGCTATTCTTGACCTTACTACTGGATTGAGGTGAGTACTCAGCTGCATGCTCCAGCCACTTTACCCCCAGGGAAATCACTCCTGGAAAAATTGGATAAGATGGCCCCAGGCCCAGTCTGGACAGTATGGAGAAGAGAAAAATCTTGCCCCTGCTGGAAATTGAACCCTGGCCATCCAGTCCATAGTCTGTTGTTATACCAACTGAGCTATTCTGGCTCCTTCAATATATGAGTCTGACTAAACAAGGTTGCCAACTGAAGGTATGGTGTCACTTCAAAGATGTTGTAGACAACCCCCTATGGAGAGAACTAAGTATATGTTGCTGACTCATCACCAGAATGCAGGGCAAAATCGTGGAGTAAAGCCAGGTAACAGATGTTTGGAAAATGTGGCACGATTCAGGTATTTGTGAATACCTGATTCAGGAGGAAATTAAGAGGAGATTGAACTCTGGTAATGCTACCATTCAGTCTGGAACCTTTTATCTTCTCATCTGTCTAAAAACATAAAAATTAGAATATACAAATTATAATTTTGTTTGTGGTTCTGTATGGGTGTGAAACTTGATCTCTCACATTAAGGGAGAAATGTAGACTGAGGGTGTTCAGAACAATATTTGGGTCAAAGAGAGATGAAACGACAGGGGTTGGAGAAAAATGCATAATGGGTAGCTTCATAACTTGTATGTGGTATGTGTTTCTGTGCAAGATTCTGTGAAGTTAAAATCAAAGTTACATTTATGAATAAAGATGTAAGAGCTGAAATATATGTATAAAAATAATTATTACTTGTCCCATATGAGTGTGGATCTGCATAGCTCAACCCACAGAAGGAATGCTGGGAAGAATATTTGCACAGAACAGTAGGTTGCAGAAAATTACATAATAAGAGCCATAACTCGTATACCTGACTAATTATTACTTAGACGGTAAAATCAATAATCAGATGTGCAGGACGTGTAGCAAGCATGAGAGATTAGAGTAATGTATAGAAAACTATCTACAGAGACTCCACTTGGGCAGATCTAGGTGTCAGAAGGACGACAATATTAAAATTGAACATAAACAGTAGGGTGTGATGGTGTAAAATTAATTCAAGAGGCACAGGATACGGACCACAAGCATGATCTGGTCACCACGGTAGTTAATCTTCGTGTCCCATAAACGGCAGAGCCTCTTTAACAACTACAGCTTTAAAAACGACCTGCTACACAGCCTTACTGCGAAGTGTTTTTTTTTATATCGCTGGTGGGGTGGGACCGGTGGGACTAAGTCCCTTGCACTGCGGCCATTTCTGGCCTATTGTACCAGCCCAAGATGATATGTGAGGGTGAGTGTGGTGCAATTGATGGAATGAAGATTGGCAGGGGAGACCTAAGTGCTCGGAGTAAACCTTAACTCCACAAATGGAACCCGCAACTTCATAGCATTCATGGGTATTTCATTTGTTTTTCCAACAGGTGGGGAAATTTGACGTTAAGATTGCTCATTGGACAATATTTACATCTCTCACATTGATAGTGGCAGCATTGTAAAATTTGTAGAGCGTGTTTCAGAATTGAATTATTTCAAGATGTACAAAAATTCAATGAAATTGTAGACTCTGTTTTAAGTTATTTCAAGATGTACAAAAATTCAGTGAAATTCGAGACCCTGTTTTAAGTTTGAAATTTATTTTTATTGCCCAATTCCTTGTCATTGTCGACAAACTGATTTCTTTTATGATGTCGACAGACTGTTCTGGTCATTATAACCCTGTAATTGTAATGGTAATCTAAAAATCATGTCGTTTGGTGGTGGTGATGGTTGGTTAGCTGAGCATGCGGAAAATGAAGAATCAAACCAGATCTTATTAAGTTTACTTTTGCCGTCTTGTCTTGTATTTATATCTTCTGGCAACCCGCAGCGTGAATTCCGAGAATTTAAAGTGTACATGGATTACTGAGATGATTTCAGAATACTAGTTAAAACTAGCCCTACAGGCCTGTATGAAAATCATATATTATCTCCATGCGGCCACAGTTCACTTGGATTCTACCTTTGGAATGAAAGATAACCGCCGTCTTTAATAGGTAAAGGTGTATGCCAGCATTTAAGGTTTAGGTTAGTAAATAAATTCCAAAGGAATTCTGTGTTCTGAAAGTTAAAGAGCTGTGGCGATAACTTCCAATTAGTGACTTACTGTTTACAGTTGAATTCATTTGGGCTTCACGGGAATTGATCAGAGTGGGACAGTTTTTGTTCTGTCTTTAAAAAATAATAGAATAGTATTTATTTACTTGAACGCCCATTAAATGATATGGTCCTTAACTTAGCATCAACCCCAAAAATTTTAACTGACTGGAATCATTATCCAACAGCAAGACAGTAAATTTCGAAATTACTAGGGTGATATGTAAGTACAAAAAATTGTACCTGAACTCTCATTATTAAACACATATATTCTCTGAAGCTTTTATTAGTATTTTGAATGTGCTTGAATGATTAGCTTGTTAATGTGACATGTGATTTAAAAGTACAGACTTGTATTATCTGTCATCCAGTTTAACCAATGCTTGGTCAAACCAGTATTGTGTGTCAGCAGTAACAGGATTACAGCAGTGCGTTAGGAAGAATAGATTTACAGCAGTATAATTTTTCATGTGATCTTGCTGCAATTAACAGTGACTGTTCCAGAGATTGCCATTGCTTGTTTACAAAGTTATGTTGTTTCACACAGAATGCATTGTTATAAAACACGTATGATATGGTGTGATTGATCTGTTACAAGAAGACATGCTGCTTTCAAATGCTGGTATATGCAGACACTTAGTGGGATCAGAACTCTACTTCCATACTCTCATAACTTTCACAACTGAACTGTGCTATGATTGGATAGCAGATAACAGGAAAGGTTTTAATACATGTAATTCTGGATTATGTTACAGTGAAGAATGTCCAGAAGAAACAGGAAATTTGGTCCACTTGTAGGATCTATTGATGAAGGTACCAGCAGTGCCCGCTTCCTGGTTAGTATTGTTCGTGGGGACCAAAGTCTTATATTCTCGGATTGAGACAATGTTTCTTTGTCTCTGTATAAGTTGCCCGTAAGTGCTGAAGTGTTCACTGTAGCGATTGTTCATATTGCAGTTTTCTGAGTTATGGCACTATATAGCTTTCATGTGGATACTGTTGTTTCAGTACAACATGCTGATTCCATCTTCATTGTTGAATTGTCTAGGGTGAGGAACTGGTTTGGTTATATATATAGGCAGATTATGAAGAAAATGGCTTTTATAACTGAATCAGTTCCTCATCCTACACAATTCATCCTGAAGATGGAGGCAGCATGTCCCTCCAAAACATCTGTGTCCACCCACAGAACTACAGTGTCTCTCCAAGTGTCTGAAAATCACTGCTGTGAAATCTTCAAAATATATGCAAAATACAACTTAAAAAGGGATGCAAGAAGTTCACAGAATATTAAAAGAATAAAATTAATATCAAATTTTTATTATATGTAAATATTCGTTCTGTAATTTTACACAAACACTAGATATGTTTTGTGACACTTATTGTGATATGTGGCTTCCAGAATTGCCTACAGCTTTTCTTAAATGATACCCATCAGTGACAGGAAAACCCCAGGTTATCGTAGTTGATTATCTGACATGATTTCTTTTGCGTGCACCATTCTGAAACCCTTTGCATGTAATGGAAAATTGGACATATGATCTAGGAAGCAGGGGATATCCACTTATGTTGCACTTTCTATAAAAACTTGTTTCAAGCAATTTCTGTTGTGCTCAGAAAGTCTGTAAAACTCCTGATGTGTATTAATTTATAATGAAGCTGCTCAATTGGGAGCAGTGTCTGAGAATTGTAGGTGGAATATCTCCCATACATCTCTCCATCTCACTTGTCATGATACTGTAGCATATATGCTGTGAAACAGACAAGTTCCCATGGCAACAAAGAAGTACTGCTGCAAACGGTGTTCTCTGTGCAGTCCATGCTGAGATACTGTAACTGAGACAAGTTTAGAAGTCAGTATGTGAAGCAAATACCAGGAGGTTGGTGTGAGATGGCTGCCAACCTGGGAGTTTCTCAATTGGAGCAGCAGAGCAGTTGTGAGATAATCGCCAGACAGTAAGAACGTGAGCACAGAAGCCGAAGAATCTCCATTGTTTAGACCCATTACCAGGATGCAAGTAGTGGAAGCAGACTGAGGAGGCTTAGCGTGTGCTGTAGTGATTTGTAAAGTTTGGAGATTAGCCATAGTTTATAGTTACTTGTAGTTACTCTCTGTAAGTGGTCAATAAATCCAATTGAAACCCCGTCTGTAGACACTCATGCACTTGACAGTATATTGATTTGTTCTGCATTCTTCTCAAAAAATAACACCACTGTCAGGTTTACAACTCAGAGTTAGTTTCCTCAAGAGAGGAGTCCCATGAAATAATGTAGATGCATTTACTATAGGAATGCTGTTACCACTGAACAGCAGTTACTTGCAAAGATGAAGATGTATAGATAGTGGGAGCCCCTTGATACAAAGTCAGACATCTCTCACATTGAGGCATGAGAAAACCTCAAACAGCTCTTCCAGTAGTCAGTCCGTGATACCCATTTCTGTTCTGTGTAATCCTTTCCTGTTTACTGTTTCTGAGTTCTGAAGTATTTCCACTGAATCTTTAATACATATAATTCTTGTTTGAAGGGCTTTTGTTCCAGATGTAATTCTACCAACTGAGTGTTCAGGCTGTGTCCTAACTATATGGCATTGCTTGTACTCTTCAAGTTTTTTGTATGTTCCAGGTTTTTGCTGCAGAAACCTCAGAGCTGTTGACCTACCACCAGATTGATGTACAACAGATGTGTCCACGAGAAGGTTGGGTGGAACAGGACCCATTAGAGATCTTGAAAGCTGTTAAAGATTGTATGGAAATTACGGTTGACAATCTTCACAAGCTAGATATTGATCCAGCAGATATTGTTGCAGTAGGGATGACAAATCAGAGAGAAACTGTTGTTGTGTGGGACAAGTATACTGGAGAGCCACTTTACAATGCAATAGGTAGTTACTAAAATATAACACTCAGGATTTGTTTCAAAACTTCTATTAAGTAAACATGGCTGTTATTTTGAACCTTTTTCAAACACATTGTTATGGAAACTGGATATTTCTATCATGGAGCAAGTTTCCTACTCAGTTGAGTCTGTTAGGAGGGAGCTCATCATGATCACTGGACCACAAATAATAGTTTTTGTGTTCAACAGAATCTCAAAATGATGGTCAGTGTGGAGAGTAGTAATCATTTATTTTAATGTGGTATTGTCAGGAATATTGAGTGAAAGTAAGTAATAACAGATTTTTTAAATGATGCTGATTGCAATAAACTGCTATCTTTTTCTTATTTTTTCAGACAAGTTCTTTCATTACACGTTTATTGTTCATATGATCAATCCTAGTAACATTTTAATATTAAGTTAGTCTTCTCATGTTAAGTCCAAGACTCGAGAACCGTCAGTGAAGAGATTAAATATTCAGAGTTAACAACAATTTTCATGTGAGATTTGAGGTTCTCACAGCAGCAGTTTCTGTGTCTCTTCTGATATATTTGTTCAATGGTGTACATTGATTGCAGGTAAAGGTAAGGCTATCCTTGTAACAGGCTGTGCAGGCCCGTAGGTTTGGCAGACGTTGAGGCGCTTGCATTTTCTAGACAGTCGGCTCACAGATCTTGGTGAGGTTATCAGCCTTACATGCCACGTGGCAGCCTTTTACCCCCAGGAAGATTCCAGGTGCTCATTTCTGTTAGAGGCTGAGTTGATCCCAGGGCCATAGTGCAGCTGGAAGGATTTAGTCATCTGACAAATCCAATGACCTCATTGGAAATCGAACCCACAACCTTCCAGCTTGCAGCATGCTCCTTCAACCAGCTGTGCTACCATGTGCCCTGTACACTGATCATTTCTAAGTTTTTTCTCTGAAGTGTATTATATTTTGGTCTTCCTGTTTTGAAATACCAAATGTTGAAGAAAATTTACATGTTTAAATATTAAGAGTCATAAATGACATTTGTTATTGTCTGACATCCATCTTTTTTTTTTTTTTTAACAGTTTGGTTGGATGTTCGTACCGCATCAACAGTGGATGAAGTTTTGGCTGGTGTTCAAGACCATAATCAGGATTGTTTAAAATCTTTATGTGGCTTACCTGTCAGTACTTACTTCAGTGCTGTCAAAGTCCGCTGGTTGATAGACAATGTTTCCAAAGTTAAACAAGCGTTCAAAGACAAGCGTTGCTGCTTTGGAACTATAGATACGTGGTTGTTATGGGTAAGACATGTGCTTTAGAAAGCAGAGAACCCTCATCTCCCCTGAATATCTGGAGCATCTTTGAGGGTGCATCATTATCAGACAGTGATATAGATTGTTATGTCAGCATTAGAAGGTTATTATGATTATTTTTGCCATACAATGGGAACCAAAATTGCCGTACCAGGGATTTTATTGAACATACAGGATTATTCTTCCATAAGGTTGTCTGCTGGCTGCTCAAGGTAAGATGTACCCTCAAGATATACTTTAGACAAATTTTAATGTAATGATGAAAGAATGGTGCCTCCAGCCCCCCCCCCCCC